ATATTATACAATATATATTATATATAATATATAATAATATATAATATATAATATACCTCGAATAATTCAGGAAAATACGCATTCCGGATGCCTGAGGATGTGCGTGTATGCGTGGGGGTGGTGTATGTGACTTTTTAGTTCTGAGTTTCTTCATCCATGGATCCATCCATGAATCTAATTGTTTCTTCTCCCAACAAGTAATTAAGGACTTCCTCCTCTGTGCCAAACACGATCTGGACAAGAAGCCAGAATAAAGAGATAGTCCCTTAGTGTGAAGAGGTTATCACTCTAACCATTATTCACTTTTTCTCATCAGCAAAATGGGCCTGGGCCTGAGAGGGCAATAGTGAGGGAGGTAGAATGAGCAAGAAACCAGAAATGGCTCTACTCCCAGGGCTAACCCTTGCTAACTCTATAAATGGCCCTCAGTTTTTTTGACATATAAAATGAAGCTATTTCAACCCTAAGGATAGATTATTCCATGTGCTACAGAAGGCTTTGCAAAGAAGAGTCCACGAATGATACCAAAGATAGAAGAAAATACAGTCAATGTCAATTACTTTCTTGGGATAATGTTGCAGGGTCATCTGGCCTGGGAAGAATGGGACTTTCTGGGTTGTCAGAGTAGGGTTTTTTCTTCCTCCTTCTTTTTCCTTCTTTTTCATCTTTCTCCTTTTTCTCTTTATTTTCTTTGACAGGAGAAAGGACATGGGTACGTCATCATTGCCTTTTCTTCTTGTTTTCGAAAGAAGGTTCTCTGCACCCCCCTGCTCTGGTATTACTGACCAAATCCCTTGTTCATCTCTTGGAGGATAACAATGAAGTTATCCTCTGAAGCAAGATAAGTCTTTGGGAGCCTATTTTAGACTTCAAACCCAAGCAGAAGTGGTAGATTTAAAATTCTGAGCCCAGCACAAACCTCTTCATTTTCAAGTTCATTTACCCTTGGCAACATGCAACCTCCTGTTTACTATGAGGGAAAAAAAGCTTTAAAAGGCTCATTTAAAAGGCTAAGGAGCCTTTTGGGATCTCCACAAGCTCTTTAAAAACATATTTTGATGATACAAGTGTAAACAAATCAAAAGCATATGGATTGAATTTCCCTTAAATTACACAGGATTTTTTAAATGATGGGAGGGTGGAAATGTGTTCGGAAAAATATGTTTTTGGTTTTACTGACTCAGAAACATGCGAATGAGCTGAAGCTTTTGACAGACCCAAGACGATGGCAGGTTTGTCCATCATCTGTCTTTGAGGGTCTGTAGTCCTTCACAAGCCTTCTCTGGCTTTGTACCCAAGGAGTAGAGATTTCCCTTAGTGCAAACTCACAGAGACAGAAAGACCAAAACCACACACTGAGTTCTACCCTTCCCTTGAGTTGAAGAGTCCTGTTTCATGAAATTTGGTAGCATGGACTCCCCTTGGACCAGTCAAAGGGATTAGTGTTCATTTTATAAAATATAAGTCTATACAGGGCTGTACAACCTGGACCCAGGTGCCAACATCAGCATCCAGGCTGACCTTCAGCAGCCTCCAAGTGGGGAGCCACCCCAAAGCCTTCACCCCATGCTTCCCAGAGTACCCTGGAGAGTCGCATCATCATCATCACCCTTCCCTTACCTCCCAGTCCCAATGCAGAACACACCAGAAAAATGAGGGTTGACAACCTGGGCCACTGCCTCCAAAGTGTTGCTCATGCCAGAATTTGAGAATAAGGGAACAGGGCCAAGAATAAGCAGACAGAGAGAAGGGTGGTGTGTCGTTATGAACACTCCAGCCTCATCTACAAAGCAGAATGTTGGGGCCTCTCATGGAGATGCACCTGTCCAATCTAGTCCTAAAGGAAAATGCCCTACAATTCTCTAGACATTTGTCCTGCTTTCTTGCTTTCTTTGTCTGAGTATACATAGCACCAGAGTTACAGCAACCCCAGAGAGCGTCTGAGAGATTCAGGAAAGTGCCAGGTGGGTTGGAGGGACCAGGAGCCCCTAAAGACCTGTCCAGTCACCTGACTCAAAAGCACCAGCAAAATTCCTCCGAGGCAAAAAATAGCTTTACTCCCCCACCCACACAGAACTTGACTGGGCTGTTTTGAAAAATGTTCAATTTGGAAAACTGAGTTGGAAACAAGCAATTACCTGAGAGCTTGACTTACCTGAGGTCAAAAGATACTGCATCATTGTTCTTTTTTGAGGAAAACCCACAAACATACTCAGTGCCTCTCTTCCAAACAGACCCAGAAAAGTTCACATTACACCCCTCTCCCCACCCCCCTCCTTTTATTTTAAACTTCAGAGCCGTGATGTGAGAAAGTAGTTTGGAAAAATAAAGGGCTCGCTCATAAAAATAGCTGCTACCCCCACTTGTGCCTCTAGTCCCAGAGACTTTGTCCCCTCGCTACAGTGGTGAATGCCTAACCAGTACATAATTTTAACAGCACAATCGCATTGCCTAGGCAGCTGTCTGCCACACCAACTCTTTATGAAATCCACCCACGCCATTTGACTCAATTACCTCCTGCAGCTGCGAATTCCACAGGTCGACCACACTCTGCATGGAAAAGTATTTCTTTGTATTTGTTCCAAATTTATTAGCCATTTGAACCATGCCTTTTAGTGACTTGTATATTTTTAAGTGTTCATATATCACCGTTTTCGGCCCAAGTCCCATCGGCCTGCATTTAATACGCAGCTCAGAATATTACACTCCAGTCTTCAAAGGATCCATTCTGAAGCAGACCTGCCTGTTGACCTCCCCTTGAGCTTTGCTCTGAGTTCCCCAGCCATGGACTTGCTCAGAGCCCATCAGCCCCACAAATGCGGGATCACAAGGCAGAAGAGGAGAAAAGCCCTTCAGGGACCAGGGAGGGAAGTGTTCAAACTTCCTCCTGCTAGAAAGGAGTTGGGGCCCTACCTGTATTCAAGGACATCCCTAAGAGGTGAGTCCATTGTTTTATAGATGAAGACACTGAGTCACGGAGAAGTGAGGTCACTTCCCATAAGTCACAGAGGTTGTCTACCCCAAATCCGCACCAAATCTCCACCACAAACATTCTGAAGACAAGTCCACCATCCTAACTCCTACCACGGGGGGTCCATGTAAGAAGAGAAGGGCAAGATTCATGGATAAATAAGTTAATGTGTCCTTGGCCCAGTAGGAAGAGATATTCAAGGCTCCCTAAAGTTAGATCCCTGAGCACTGGGTGCCATGTTTCTCTCCCTGACGAGCACGGGAGAACACACCATGCACTGTGGAGAACCCCGGAAGTCCCTCTCCACTACTGTAGAAATAGGCCTCAAAACACAATGACAAGCATGGACTTCCAGCATCTTTGTTTGGCTTGACAAGTGATGTCCTGGGCCATGTCTAAATTCTTGCCTCCTCGTCATCTGCGTTCTGGTGAAGCCACATCGAGGCCTCCCCCCCCCCCCCAACTCCTAACCCGAGGTAACTCAGTTCCCATTCAGGCCAGGCTGTGTGACTTCCCCTGTGTGCTCCCTTCCCTCAGTCCAGTTCTACTGGGAATGGAGGGAATGGGTAAGACGGTCTCCACGTCTCCATGCAGAACAGAGATAGCACAGCCTTCGCTGTCAGGACTTTGTAATTCCAGCTTCGCTGCTTCCAGACTGTGACTACAGGTGAGTTCTTTAATCTCTGAGAGGGGTGATTCCTCCGCTCTGTCAGTGAAGAAAATGCCGAGCTCGCGTGGCTCTCACAAAGATTACCCATGATGCGTCCAATGAGCCTGGCCCTGTGTTCAGCCCATAATAGGTACTCAGTGCACGTCAGCTGCTGCCTTTTGCAAATTTATGCTATATGTGAATAAGTGGGGAACCAGGATGCTAAAGATACAACAGGTTATTACAGCCGACTGCTTTAGAAGGGGTGGTTTGACTTAACAGTCTAGTCTTAAAACCAGGTGTAGAGGAGACAAAATCCAGAATTTAGGTCTATAGCTTAAACCTTTATTCATAATTATGTATGGCCCAAGATTAACTTATCATGGCATATACAAAAACAGAGGTGCCTGATTAACAGAAAAGAGAGCTTTGTGCCAAGACCCCTCCCTCTCACAAAAGAAGAAGAAAATGCCAGTTGGAAGTGAATTTAATAACGACATGTTAAGTTGGGCGCATCTGCTTCCATTCCATGTCAAGAAATTACAGTCCATGCTTGCATTCAGCAATTTATTCTTTTTCTAAAAGTTTCTTTGCTGTCATGTACAGGCTATGTTTAGGGTTTAGTGTTTCAAGATGGTTTTACTGTAAAGGGAAATGAAAACAACTATGGGATATGGAGAATCTATTGATCTTCAACATCTCTGGGACCAGAATTTCCTCTGCCTTTTCAAATAATGCAATTGTCATAGCCACTTTTTTTTTTCCTTCAAATTCTGAATCAGGGTATTGTTTTCTGATGGTAAATTTAATGGCCTGTTGTCAGCAATTCAGAAAAGCATTGAAACGTTCCCCAATAGTATGGACTCAAAACAACACTCTACATTCAAAAGGTCTTTAGTTCTGGTGTCTAACATCCACTCAAATGGCCCAAGTGGCTTTGGGCGAGTCACTGAACCACATTCTACCCCTGATGGGTCACCTGCAACAAGAGAAATCTGGAGCACTGTCCACACCATCTAGCCTACTGTTGACATTCTACTCTCTGTAGGATGCTATTTATAAGACAACCAAAGTTTTACAATTTCTTTATTCCTGGCCATTAGAAATCAAATAATTCAGTTTATTTTATAAAAACATCCTTAACCCAGTTTCCTGTCTATTTATCCCCTTGGAGGGGAAGATGTTGACATTCTTAAATACTCAAGGAACACGTCTATGCAATCTAGATTTGAATTTAGATTTGGATGCTGACTTTGGCCAAATATGCATTAAAAGTAGGTAAAATGAAAATGCCTACCTGACCCATCTCACAAATTGCTTTTGAGCCTCTATGTGCTCAGCTCTGGGTGAAGAGAAGACTGACACTCTGCCCTAGTACTCGCCAAATTGGTCTGGACACGCTCTGCCCATCTGTTTAAAAAACAAGAACAAACAGATAACTGAGAGATAATTTGCATACCATACAAGTCACCCACTGAAAGTGTAAATTCAATGTTTTTTAGTCTATTCACAGAGTTGTGCAATCATCCCCAGAATCACTTTTATTACATTTTTGTCCCTCCTAAAAGAAATCCTGTACACATGAGCTGTCCCTCACCATTGGCACACATACACCTTTCTCCAGCCCCTGGTAATGGCTACTCTGCTTTCAATCTCTAAAGACTTCCCTATTTTGGACATTTCCTAAAAATGGAATCATACAGTATGTGACGTTTTCTGACTGACTTCTCTCCTTCAACAAAATGTTTCTAAGGTTTATCTATGTTTCAGCGTGCATCGGCACTACGTTCCATTTTATGGCTGATTAATAGTTCATACTGTGGATATACCACATTTTACTTATCCACCCATCAACTGATAGACATTTGAGTTGCTCCCCCATTCTGGCATACCACTGCCAAGAAATCTCATGGACAAGTCTGCACATCTAGTTGTGCATCGACAAAATTCTATTGCTTTCAATTAACTTGGAAGACCAGCTCCTCATTTTCTACACAGTCACCTGCTTTTCTGCATTTCCCTGATGTTAGCACCTTGTTCCAGGTACTTTGGCCTTTCTGATGTCAGAACAGTCTCTTCACTTTGCATTCCTCATTGAAATGGTTGTAGAATCCTTCTAAATATCTAGGATGGGTCTCGAATCCATTTTTTCTTGATGGTTGTCTTACAATCATGACCTCATTTTTCTTACTTTCTTCTTCTCACTGAAAACTCTCCTCACCATTGACTCATTACCCAACTACAAGCTTGGGTCTCTTCTTTCTACTATGAAATGTTACTTCTAGTCATCAGGTATTTAAAAAGTCTCCATGATTCTCCACTGAAAGGTTCACTACACTGAGTTTTTTACCAGGTACAAAATTTGCAAGCCACAAACTTGGGTACCTAAATACTATAAATTTGATTATTTTTCTATAAAGGAATTTAAATTATCTTTTAAGACTTTGTGTAGCCTACTAGCAAGATACTCAATCCAGTTATAGCCAAGTAAGTTCAGTCACTTCCATGATTTATCTGTGCTTTCTCATTTGAAATTAACATTTCCCAAGTTGGCCTCCTCTCAGCTCTTCCCCTGAGCTGGGTGGGGGGTGGGGACGAAGGCATCCATATCTACGAATGAAGAGGAACCCACATCCAGTCCTCAGGTGACCTCTCTTGTCTGCAAGGATGTCTCCTAGCCCATCTGCTCTAACCTCGCCAATACCCCTCCTCTTTGCCTTGCCTGCATCCAACCTGTTGACAGTCAGTTCTGCCGTCAGTCCACACCCCATGCTGACATGGAGGGCTTCTTGTCGAAGCCCCAACCTCCTTCAGACATTCAGGCAGAGAGTCATTTGCCCACTTGTCTGGGATTTTCATTGTCCAGCCTAACCCCACCCCAGGCTGGTGGGCAAGGAATAGGGCCCCTTCTCAGAGAAAGAGCCACATGTCAGCTGTCTTTTCTCTCCCTCTAGCTTCTGCTCCCAGTTCAGACAATCTTTGTCTAGTCTCTGCAGACAAGCTAGTTGAGCCCTTTATGAATTTTCTTTCCAATATGTTTTTTATATCATATATTGAAGGCTTGTACTCCTTCTGCTGTTTTGTTTTCCAAAACACCCAGCTCTTGCAAATTTGGAGCCTTGGCTCTCCAGGCTATTATCCCCTCTACAAGCTTCCAGGGCCCTATCTGAAAGGGCTAGTGCTCAGGCTTGCTTGAACCCAAAGCTCCTGTGTGCCCTTAAACACTGTGGTGTGCTGCCTCCCAGGTTCCAAGGGCTGGGACTCAGAGGCCAACCGTCTCGGTCTCTGCAGAGCATGTCACTGTCCAGGGAAGCAGCAAGGAGCTGCTGGCCAGAGAGCCTCCTCCAAATCCATGAAACTTGTCTTCCTTTTGTGATCTGAGCCAAGACAACATCTTACAGGCCCTGCGCAGCCCAGCCAGGATTTCTAATTTTAAGGGCCATGGCTGGCCCCTGACTTGGCATTTGGTTTCTAGCACACACTTCCGGTGTCACCAATGTGTCCAAAGAGGTCTGTCATTCCTTAAGGCTCTTCAGTCCTAGGTCTGCCTCTGCTGATGCCCCTGCAGCTGGACACAGACCCTGGAACCTGGACCTTGACAGTTAACCTAGGAAAGTGAAAACTCACAGGCGTGTGGAGTCCCTTCTCAGGAAAGAGAGGTAGCAAAAATGCACCATAAATATTATTCACATTTGAGGGAAGAAAAAGAAGAAGGCAACACCATAAGAGCCCAATGTTTCCACTGGGTCAAAAGTAGAATCCTTGTTCATTATCTGTCCTGTGATGAAAGTACCAAATATATAGATGGCAAGGAACAATAGTCAATTCCATAAAGGGTGTGGGTGGGGGAAAGCCATACAAGAGTTTTTGGTTTTGTTTAAATTGTCTTTTTCTTGCTGTTAATGGAAAAAGGTAAAGGCTGTAATTGCCTGTGATCATTGTTATGAATTCAGAAACTCAAGCTTCTGGTGAAATTGACTTTCTGAATATCCAAGTTTTTGCTGCTATCTTAAAATGGAAAGGATTTGGATTGATTGGAGACAACAGAAAAAAGATTTGAATTTTTTTCCCCTCTGTGTGTCCTTCTAACTTCTAACATAATTGAAAGATGAATTCATTTGGCGAGAAGTGCCGCTCAAATTCAAATTTGGTTCTTTCAAAGAAGGAGATCAAAACTGATTTTTCTCTGGAGTTGGAGAATAATGAAGCACAGAGAGGATATGTTTTGCATATTTGTTTGCAAAAGACACAATGTTCTTATGCTTATATATATATATATTTTGTCTTGAATGTGGGTCGTTGTAAAAGAAAAGTCATCGTGCAGGATTACTTCATTTGGTTATACCCCTTTAAAGACTTAAGAGCAACTGTCTATCCATATTATCTGGTGATAAATCCTCTGAAATCCCCTGCTAAAACAAGTCCCATTGATAGCAGATAACCCGGGCTCAGCCTTCTTAAGTTTTATTTCGATTAATCTCTGATTCATGTTAATGATCTTTCAACTGTTTTATTCCTTCTGAGGCTGGAAATTTTTTTTATCATCTTAACATGCTTACGGCGTACCTAATCCATCCCTTTCTATCCTTGGCTGAACGTTGTCTACACGATTTCTCTGACATGAAATCTCCTTCCCTTCTGCACCAGCTACCTCCCCTCCCTCTGTATCCTTGGAGAATTCTCTTGGACCACACACTTCAGGTGCTTGACTTCAATTCCCATAAGTTTCTAGTTTAAAGATATCACTTCATATTTTTATTTGTCGTTGTTGTTGTGTGTGTTTATATATTTAATATGCTCATTCCTGCATTTGTATTTAATTGTTGTTTCCTAAGGGACCACAGTTTCTTCCCAATTAATTTCTTTTTTTCTTTCTTTTTTTTTCTTCCCAATTAATTTCTAATGAACCCATTTTCATGGGCATCTGCACCACAGAGACAGCAGCTGATTTAGATTATGCCTGAATTTTCTCAGCAGAAACTACCATTGACCTAAGCATCCCTTTCACAACACTGTCCCAGGCACAAGAGCAAGCCAGTGGCCATCCCGGCCCTCAGCCTTCTTGGCTTAGTGAGCTGCTACTTCTAATTATTTCTAAATTATTTTAATTGCTTGAAGCCATTAAAAACACACACTCAACATTTTGAAAGAATTGCCAGAGTCTCCTCAGACCAACGTTTCCACTGACACAATATGACTTAGAAGAAACATCAAAGGCTTGCAAACGAGACCACTGAAAGCATTCTTGCTTCTCCACCCATTAGGGCTCGACATTGTCTGAAACAATGTGATTTCCAGAAGGAGCTGGCTAACTACAGGCCCTTCGAACCCTATCTAGCAAGGCTGGCTAAAGCAGAGACTTTAGCTTCTGAAGGATTTGAGGATTTGCTACTTTCAGGGAAGAAAAACATGGAGCCCCTTTGTTAATACGGTGGTGTCATTAGAAAAAGAGGCAATATGGTCATGGTCCAAAATCTATACCGAAGCATTGGGTTCACAGAATCTCTAAGGCTTTGAGGGAATTTCAATGTGTCTCTGAGAAGATGTATCAAATTCCAGTATAACTAGCTTAGGGTGATTTAGAATTCAGAAAATGGGATACATTGTGCAAGTACATCTTCCAAATCTTCATGGAAATTTCAGCTTGGCTTGGCTAATTGTGGGGAAGGATTATGAAGGAGAAATGTCATATCCCAAACATGTAGCTCAATACTTGGCAGTAAGTGTTGGTCAAATGAGCAAATGATCGAATGATTGAATGAACTAACAACTGAAAACGAACCTAGTCATGTATTTCTTTCTTCCTTTCCTCCCTTATTTAATGTATCAGTATACCTTTTCTTACTGAAGATTTAGCTTTCTACCAACACCCTGGACCCCATCCACTCCTCCCATGTTGGAGACCTTATTCCAAGGACTGATGTTTTTTCCCTGCATCATCAATAACTATCTTTCTCACACTTATATTCTGTGAATATACCCCTTTAATCTCCCTCACTGTCACTGCCTTGGTTTGGGGCTCCATCATCTTTCAATTTTAACTATTTCAATATTTACCTAACAGGACAGCAACTCTGCAAACAGAACCAGGATACAGTTTCTGTCTTTGTCCTGTCAGCCTTGCGTCTTCAGTGTTGAATTCATTCTTGGCACATTCTTCCCTTCTAGTCACAAGATGGCTGCCAGTGGTTCTCCTAGTGCTTCCTTCTTTGTCTCATCTAGCAGGAAAAATAAAGCATTCCTTCCAGTATTTCAAATAAAATAAGGACAGACTTTTCTATTCCAGGTATTCCAAACACCTGTGAAGTCACTGACCTCTATTTCTCTGTTTTGTCCATCCTTGAATTAATCACTCTATGCCCAAGGAGGGAATAGAGTATACTCATTGGTTTAAGCCAATCAGGTATCACCTCTATAACTGGAGGTGGGGACAATTTCAACCAAACTCAAAAGCAGAAAAGAGAAGGAAAGTGAATTCCCAAAGAGAAGCCGGAGTGTGATGGTAGATGGAGGAGAGGATACTTGGGAGGCAGCTGAAATTGTCTAGTGCATGGGGTCAACAGTGTGGGATCAACAGCAGAGGCTAAGACCAAAAATTTGTTCAGACAGAAATGGAAGAAGGAAGACCAGAGTCATGGCCAGAAAAGTTAGTAAAGGCAGAAAAAGCAGTTGGAATCTTATTAGCCAGAGCATAAAATAAGTCAAGTTCATAAAACTCAGTTGAAGCAACAGTTACCTGAGCTAGTCAATCATTAGAATCACCCAGAGGAATTTCCTGTTTAATACAGACTTCTGGGGCCCCTGGGTGGTAGAATCACTTGAGCATTCAACTCTCAGTTTCATCCCAGGTTGTGATCTCCGGGTCGTGAGATCAATCCCCACATCAAGCTCTATACTTGGTGCAGAATCTGCTTAAAATTCTCCCTCTCTCTCCCTCTACCCCTCCCCCACTCCTAAAATAAATAAATACATCTTTTTGAAAAATACAGATTTCTTTGTACCATCTGCAGAGATACCACTTCAGCCAACCTGAAGCCCTTAAAATGTGGAGGTGCCGTGTGGAGGACGGGCCAGCCTTTGGAGGAGAGGGGTCGAGCTATGCAGGAACTCGTGGCTGAAAGGGCTGGCTGAGGAGGAAAGGCACCAGTTCAGTTCACCACAGTTCTCCTAGCCTGTGGCGGGGGTGTGCAAGGTGGGCAGACTTCTGCTTTTCTCTCCACAGCAGTAGGTCACCAAGCCACTTGTGAAAGGTCATCCACGGTTGGGCTGGCAGTCATGGCTTGTCCAAACTCACTGTCTTTTTACTTCCCAGGTACGGTCTTGACAGCTTTGCCCAAAATGGGTGAATTCAGAGCTTCTCATGAAAATATGCATTGTGACCCGTAATTTGTCAAATATATCAATATTTTCTACCCCGTATATACTTATAAACTGTGTTAGGCAATACCAGCTACTTATTAATGGGTCTGGATATAAACTTTCACTAAGAACCTACAACATTCCATGAGATCATTTGTCCCTTATTTCCTCTTTTGCTAGATAGGGCCCCACACTGTATTAAAAAAATAGAAAGACTAGAAGAAAGCAGGGGGAGGAGGGAGCTGCCTGGTATGATCCTCAACAACACTAGTGTCTGAAATCAATCCAGTGTGTACTTACTTCCTCTCAACTTGAGTGAGCCTTCTCAGCCCCTGATAAACAGTAAAGGAAAGATTAAGAAACCTGAGGACTTGGAGGAGATTTTCCTGGTTCAAAAGAGCAGAAAGAAGGAGATCCCGAAAAAAAGACTGAGACTTTTCTAACTCGTCCTCTAGGCCTTCCGTATCAGCCTCCTTAGTCCAGGCAGGGTGGGAGCTTGCAAGATAACGTAGATCCTGCTCGCCCCTTTGGGACCCCAGCGTGCTTCCAGCCTGAAATCCTCCAAGAGGAATCCAGTTCCCTGTAGACAGATGAAAGATGAGAAACACAGTAGTTCTCGGGTGGATTTGCTTATGCATCTGTTCCAAAGCCAATTGTTTGAAGATTTTCTTTTTTTTCCTTTCAAGGTCCAGTACATCTTTGGGCTTCTGGTCTTCCATGGGGAGGAATCCACCCCAGCCAGCCCCAGTGACTCTGCACTAACTTTCTGTTCTACTGAGTCCTTCATTTCATTTTGGCCAAAGATCAGCATTGATCTAGGTTGTTGCCAGCTGTGGAACAGCTGTGCAATTCAAGAAAACCACAGCAGGCTCAGGAGGCTAAGAGACTTTATTAAATCAAGGGGGGGAAGAAAAGGTAGGTTGGGAGTTCTTTCCCTCTCAGTCTCCCCTAAAATAATTCTCCCCAATATTGATGATGTGGTATAGGGTGAAATTCAGGCTTCTCACCTCTCCAGGATTTAATTAAAGAGTTTTATTTTCTATAAGGAGGAAGAAGTCAGAGGGATAGAAACTCGCTCGCTCCGTGATGGGGACAGGCTGGGGAAGGGGGAAGAAACATGCATCATTCTGGCATCTGATAAGCTTCCTGAGGGTAATATCTTTTCTCCCGAAACTCGGGGACTAGAAGGGCCTCTTCAGTAAAGGGAATCTGGGACCGCCACTGAGGATCTTCAAATGGCCACGACTTCCTAGCTTGCAGACTTCCCTCCTGAATTAAAAAAAACTCCTCCAAAAGTCCAAAACGCATGAAAATGTTATAGAAAGAGTCTTTCTAATACATTTGGAAACAACCCCCTGAGGATATGTTTAAAATAGATTTATGTTTTATTTGCAATAAGTTCTACAAAAGGTAGACAAACGAAGGCTCTTTCTGCACCAGTTCCTAGTTGCCTAAAAGGAAATAAAACACCTAATTCCTAAATCCACGAGAAATGTGTTCATTCCACAGAAGGTAGATACTCAGCTGATTTTTTTTTTTTTTTTTACCTTGATGATGCTGTCATGGTCGTGGTCAGCACAGTCGACAAGGGTTTTCACCCTCGAACCCCACCTGAAGTGAAAAGTTCTGGCTAGATGTGGTTCATGGCTAGTTCTGGCTAGATGTGGTTCACAGCCTTTGAGCTGTGTCATCGTCCCCTCCAAGACCTATGCCACACTGTCACCTTAGCGCTGGCACGCTGAAATTCTTTCCCTCTTGGCAGTGTCTGATATGAACATGGAGATCACACAGACTATGAGACATAATATTTACTTAGCGTGAGGTGATGTCATTCGTAGGGGACAGCTGTGGGCTCTTCAGCTGGAAAAGAAGGGGTTGGCTTCTCAGCGTACCTGGTGCTGGCCTGGAGCTGTGTGTCTGGCAAGAGGGCAAGCAACATTAGAGGTGCGGACGGTGACGGCGGAGGAAAGGCATGTCGGCTGGCCCCTGTGGGATATAAGCCTGTCACCTGGGATTATTTGGAACTCCTTTGTTAATCAGTCTGCATCTATTTCAAGAAGTTAAAAAAAAAAAAAAAAGCAAACACCCATCTTGCTTTAAAGATCCACGAGGATTTTACGAGCGAGATGGACATATGCTGAGCTGTGGCTTCCAGTTCATTTTACATTTGGTACAATGATAAATTCATCTTTTTCTTGTTTTGACAAGTGAAATTTTGGGTGAACAGAGGGAAAACAGTAGTGAATGTCTATGTTTTTAGCCTGACTTACAGGCTGGAGGCAGTTTCAAACTTACTATAATGTATTCATCTCTCTTTACATAACTTCCCGGTGTTTTTGAAAAGGGAGTGCTCAAGCAATTCTTAAAAGTTAAAAAAAAAAAAAAAAAAAAAAAAAAAAAGGCTCCCCATAAGTTCCCGAGTCAGCATTTACTTTTTACTGAATGTGACTTTAGTTGATGGCCCCAAAATGTATTACGTATCAAATGACAGCAGAGACTGGCCACAGCCGCAGGGACTAGGGCGTCTTCTGCTGTAAATGAGCCATTTCGCACTCTTTAATCCTGGTTCCAGGGTGACCATGGCTTGGTTCTTTGAGCGGTCTGTGGGTGGGTCATGAACGTGCAGGCCATCCAAGAATCCAGCCAGACCCTTACCTCGCAGCCGCCTCTCCCGTCCCACTTCTGAAGTACTCCGACCCACCTTCCGGTCTCCGGCAGCTTGTTTTTTGGATCCACAGATGTTCAGCAGGCCTGAGGCATTCATTGGAGCGAACTAAAAGGAGTCGAGGATTTCATCTCGTGGACGGGACCCCGCTCTTTGTTGCTTGGAGCAAGTGCATTGCATTGCATATGTGACGTGTCCTAAAGCTTCTTGGGAGTGAACGTAGGGTGTGCAGGCTGAGCCGATAACCCAGGGAAAAGCTACGGCGAGATCTTTGGGGCAAAGCTAGAGGTGCAAAGCCACAATCGGGGTACAGGGAGGCGACAGCTACCCCACAACCAGGTGAGAAAGAAATCTACAAGGATAGCCCCTCTTAAGGTAGTCTTCTGGACTGAGCTGTGACTGGGCCAAGCCGACGTCCCGGAAAGGGAACAGAGCTGAGGATATAATGATATCCCATAACTGACCAAGTAAGAAATACACAGGAGCTGGTCAGAGGTGGAGAGCTACTCAAGGGGGCAGCCCACCGCAAAAGAGGCGGTAGGCCTCCTGCGATGGGCCTTGACATTATGGCTTCCTGGACCAGCCTGAGAGTGACGTCCAGAGTCCCTGAGAGGAGGTGGAGACGAATGCCCAGGCATCAGCGAGGCCCAAAACAATGTTGTCAAAGCACTGGGGTTGAAGGAGCCTGTGGCTAAACCTAGACCTCTCCTTCCGAGCGGGCTTGGTGATGCTCAGACTGTCCTAGGGCTGGGTGTGTTTTCCAGGCCTGGGGAGGAGGAGGAATTCAAGAGCAAGGTGGGACCACATCCTAGACTTGCCTGGCCGGCCGACTCACAAGCCTCCTCTGGCCGGAAGTTATCCTTCTTTCTCCAGAAATGAGCTTAGGGAAGCTGGTTTTTGTTTGTTTGCTGTTGATCTCTTTGGGCATCTGTTCTCAGTGCCACATACCCAAGCAAGACTGGCTCAAAGCTGACAGAAGAGAGGACATTATTATCACCTTTACAGAAAAATTCTCCCTTCTTTGGAGCCACCTCTTGCCCCATTATTCAGTGTGTATTTGGAGGGTGATGGAGAGAGTGAGAGAGAGAGAGAGATTGGGGTAATAAGTGGGTCGTCTATGATACGGAATCTGGCCATCTCCTCCCCTTGCCAGATCTCTGGCCCACCTGAGTCA